TGGCCAAGAGCAGCCCCAGCAGGACGGGCAGAGGCAAAGCAAGGTGGGGAGGAGAAGGAGCGGGGACGAGATTGCCCTTGGAAGGCAGACGTGCCCTGGCGCCCGCTCCTGCCCAGGGACCCTGCCCAGAGCCATCCCCCTGCTCGCTGGGGCCTTGAGGGGCAGGTGTCCAGCGGGGCCAAGGTGTGCCAGCAGCTCCCCCGTGCTGCTGAGCCTTGCCAGCTCTGGGCCCTGCTGGGCAGCAGAGTCCCTGTGTGCCCCCTGCAGCTGGGCCTCAGCCACCTCCTCTCTCCACAGGCAAGAGAGCAGCCTTGCTCCTGCTCCAGAGCAGCCAAACACCTCGGGCAGGAAGAGCAGGACCTCTCACCTTCACTCTTTGTACCCTTGCTCAGCTGCGTTGCCGCGGCTGCAGCACCTGCTTTTTGATGTCAAGGTCCAGCTGCCACCAAAACGTTCCTCTCTGCCTCTAAACCCACTGATCGCACCCTATGATGAGGACTGAAGTTGGTCCTTTCCTGCCCACCCCTTTTATTCAAATAAAGAGAGATTCAGCATCACTTGAGTGTCTGGGTGGTCCCACCAGCAAAGGCCCAAGGCCCCAGGCCTGGCTGAGCTCCGTGCCCGGGCGCAGCCGTGGATGCCCACGGTGTGGGCAGGCAGGAGCCAGGCTGGGGCTCCTGTGACCAGCAGCAGGGCCCTGAGGGGCTGGGGCAGTCCGTGGTGAGGGTCCTTGGGCTGAGGGCACATCTACTGCAGCAGGACCATGTGGTTCTGGACCTCTTTGGTGGTTTAAATAACCCAGGGTTAAAAAAAAGGTTAACCCCACTGAGGATGTCCACTCCCTCCTCTTCCCCCTTCTGGCAGGGGGAGAGACACTAGGAGAGACAATGGGAAAATAAAATTGTGGGAATCCCAATTCTACACGCATTTACAGAATTTTTACAAGAAAAACTTGCAGCAAACAGAACAATAGAAAGGGATTGGTTTGCCCACAAACAGGAGTATACACCAGCGAACAAAAAAAACTGCTCCCTGAAGAGAGCATCCAGTGTAGTTTTCCTGCCTGGACCCCAGGATAAAAAAACAAGAACGCTCCTTCCCGTTTTTCAACTCACATGGCTTGGGAGAAAAAGAAATCAATGTGGCAAATGAGTTTCTGCAGTTTAACACCCTCCCCCAGCCAGACAAACAATGGGGAAGAGGGGCAAAGCAAAGCCTGGAGAAGTATTTTGTCTGAAAGGACTTATGCTGCAGAGACACTGGGTCCGATGGTGCCTGTGGCGGTGACGATCCCTGCGGTAGTGGTGACGTTTGTTTTCGGACTTGGGGTGGCTCTGAGCTGTGGCAGGGCTTGAGAAGCGGCTCCAACAGGTCCTGGGACTGACAGAGTGGCTCTGATGGCTCCTGGGACTGATGGAGCAGCTCTGATGGCTCCTGGGACTGACAGAGTGGCTCTTATGGCTCCTGGGACTGACAGAGTGGCTCTGATGGCTCCTGGGACTGACAGAGTGGCTCTGATGGCTCCTGGGACTCACAGAGCAGCTCCAACAGCTCCTGGCACTCACGGAGCAGCTCCGATGGCTCTGGGGCATTTGCGGCAGTGGCAGGCGGCAGCTGCAGCCCTGGCCCTCCCTCTCCTGAGCAAGCCTGGCAAAAGAAAGGCCACCCTTCCACTTCTGCCCGCAGAGTTTAGAGGGACAGTCCACGCCTTCGGCAACCAAGGCAGGAATGAAAAAACGTTCCTCTTCTGGCGCCTTGGCATTCCCTGCTGGAATGACATCCTCCAAGGGTGATGTAGTTGGTGCAGAATATACAGTTTGGTCACACCCACGTAGTGCTAATGCCCACCTCCTATCTCTGTAACCACGACATAATCCACTCCTTGTTCTATACCATCATCTTCATGCCAAAATTAATCCTTTTTTAACTGTGTATATATGTATATATATATAGATAGATACACATACACATAACTATTCAGAAGGACAGGTGTTATTTCACTAGTCACTGACCATCCCCCAAGATGTGTGTTGAGTTCATTTAGTGGTGTAACTGGAGCAGTCTGTCCTCATTGTCCATGGCAGTTATGGCACACAGTGGCAGTGCGATTCAGCAACCAGCATTATATATGCAATTCAATGTTACAGACAGTTCTCACCCAAAATCACATCCCCTTGAGGTTCACATCATGTTTGCCCATCCCTCTGCATTACCCACCAAGTGCACCCAGGTTCTTGAGCAAAAACACTCCCACGGAGGGGTTTGCCTTTGCTTGTGGCAGGAGTAATCCAAACTGTCTTCCCTAACACATTCCTCATATGCACCATGGGGACTTTATCTCCTTCTAAGGTATGTAAGGGCTCTCATTGGCAGGGCTCAATTGGTAGAGCCTCCAGTGTTAACTAACCAGGTGGCCTTTGCTAAATTCAGATCCTACTGAAGGTCCCACTGCCCATTGCCTTCAATGTGGTTTTTAACAGTCCATTGCAACATTCAACTTTCCCAGAGGCTGGTGCATGACAGGGAATATGATTCACCCATTCTATTCCCCGCTCTCTGGCACAAGTGTCTATGAGGCTGTTTTTGAAATGAGTCCCACTGTCCGACTCAAGTCTTTCTGGGGTGCTGTGTTGCCAAGGACTTGTTTTTCCAGGCCCAGGATGGTGTTCCAGGCAGTGGTGTGAGGCACAGGGTGTGTCTCCAGCCATGCAGTGTCGTTTCCACCATTGTCAGCACATAGCACTTGCCTTGGCAGGTTTGGGGAGTGTGCTATGATTGATCTGCCCAGCCTCCCCATATTTATGTTTTGACCATCATCCCCCATCCCACAGGGGCTTCACCCACCTGGCCCTGCTTGATCACAACACGTTTCACACTCCCATGGATAACCTGGGAGAGAGTGTCCATGGTTAAGTCCACCCATCTGGATGTTGTATCTCTTCCCTGATGACCTGAGGTGTCATAGGCCCACTGAGCCAGAAATAATTCACCCTTGTGTTGCCAGTCCAGATCTACCTGAGACACTTTTATCTTGGCAGCCCGATCCACCTGTCCCTTGTTGTGATGCTCCTCATTAGCCCAGCTCTTGGGTACCTGTACATTTACATGACATACTTTTACAGCCAACTTCTCTGCCTGGGCAATAATTTCTTGCCACAATTCAGCAGCCCAGACAGGTTTCCCTCTGTGCTGCCAACTGGCCTTTCCCCATAGGTCCAACCATCCCTACAGAGCGTTTGCCACCATCCACAAGTTGGTGGAGAGGTAGAGTGTTGACCATTTCTCTCATTCAGTGATATCTAAAGTCAGCTGGATGGCTTTCAGCTCTGCAACCTGACTTGATCAGCCTTGTCCCTGAACAGCTTGTGTGACCCACCATGCAGGACTCCATGCAGCAGCTTTCCATTTTCGATGTGCCCCTACAATACAGTGGGAACTGTCAGTGAAGAGAGCATGTCACCTTTCATTTCCTGGTAGCTGATTATATGGTGGGGCCTCCTCAGCACGTGGCACCTGCTCCTCTTCCTTCTCTGATGATGGTCTGAAATTTTGGCCTTCAGGCCAGTTGGTGATGAATTCCAAGATCTCTGGGTTATTGGGGTTTCCTATCCAAGCTTGCTGTGTGATCAGAGCCATCCACTTGCTCCACATGGCATCAGTGACATGATGTGTGGAAGGGACTTTCTTTTGAACCTCCAGCCCAGCACTGGCAGTTGGGGTGCCAGGAGGGGCCGTGTTTTGGTGCCAATCACTTAAAGAAGTGGCTCAAACCCCTTCAAAAGCTGCCAGGATCTGTTTTTCAGCTGGGGTGTAACAGGCCTTGGAAACTTTGTATCCCCGACTGCAGAAGGGTTGTCCTCGAGTCTCCCCAGCTACTTTTTGCCAGAGACTCCAGGATGGACCATTGTCCCCAGCTGCAGTGTAGAGCACGTTTTACACATCCTATCCTGTCCTGACTGACCAAAGGGCTACTGCATGAGCAATCTCTTGTTTGATCTATTCAAAAGCTTGTTGCTGTTCAGGGCCCCACTTGAAATTGTTCTTCTTCCATAGCACAAAGTAGAGCGGGCTCACAATCTGACTGCACTCTGGAATATGCATCCTCCAAAAACCTGCAGTGCTCAGGAAAGCCTGTGTTTCCTTCTTGCTGGTCAGTGGGGATAGAGCTTCTCTTTTGTTGACCATGTCTGTTGGGGTCTGGCAACATCCAGGCTGTTGCCTTTTGCTCCTAGGAACTGAATTTTCTGGGTAGGTTCCTTGGCCTTACTTTGTTTTATGGCAAAACCAGCTTCCAGGAGGACCTGGATTAGCTTCTCCCCTTTCTCAAAAACTTCCTCTGCTGTGTTGCCCCACACGATGATGTCACCCAAGTGTCCTGGAGCCTCATGCTTTTCCAGTGCAGTCTGGGTCAGTCCACGGCAAATGGTGGGGCTGTGTTTCCACACAGTCGGTTCCAGGTGTACTGGATGCCCCTCCAGGTGAAAGCAAACTGTGGCCTGCACTCTGCTGCCAAAGGGATGGAGCAGAACTCATTAGCAGTGTCAGTGGTGGCTGCCTTGGACTCCAGCTCATACTGAAGTTCCAGCATGTCCAGCACAGTGGCATCAGTGGTGGGGTGAT